CCTCCATGAGCGTCTCGACGCTGCCCATCCTCTGCGGACAGACACATGTCAGTCAGACCACTCATCCGTTGATTGACATCATAACTGGAAGAGGCCACTGCCACTTGCCTGGTCGTGCAGAATGGGGTTCTTGATCTTCCGCTCGATGTCCAGCGGCTTGGTCCGCGGCGGCTCCCACCTTTTCGGCCGCTTCCTCCGTGCCGGATGCCTGCAGCCGTCAACAAACACAGTAGACCACATGAACCGAGGCCACGACGAGAGAGATCAGGCGTGTGTGTGGATCTCACTTGTATCTCCGCTGCAGATGGATGAATCCATGGGGAGCCTCTGCTGCAGTGGGTTTGTGCAGCAGAGCCAGCCCAACTGGTCTGTGCATACTGCCTCACGTACAACTTGAGTCGACTAAATGGACGCGTGAAAGGTCACAAAAGCCCGTGAGAAGCGGAGATCTTTCCTTTTCACCATTTGCGCGCTCAGCTTACAGACCGCGCGAGGGGTATCTTCCTACCTGAGCTGTTTAGCTGCCTGTGGTGATCACTTGTACGCGGAGTCATCGCTCATGGACCAGCAGCTGATGGAGATTCGCAAGCGCAAAAATGAGGAGTACCTGAAGCGCAAGGAGGAGGGCGAGAAGGAGGCCAAGGCCGCCAAGACCACAACAGGCGCCGCCCATCCAGCGTGAGCGCATCGGCATCTGCTGCAGCGGCCGCAGCGCCGGCAGGTCCCTCCCAGCCCACCGCCATGGACCTGGATGCCTTCATGACGGACGAGGAGCGTCGCCGCAAGCGCCAGGAGGATGCCGACCATGCCCTGGCGATGCAGCTGATGAGGGAGATCAACGCTGGGGCTGACCAGCCTGAAAGGTGCAGCAGCAGCAGGCCCAAACCCGAGATGACTGCCAAGGCGAGAACCAGCCTTGCACAGATGGCCTTTCAGGCGTTTGTGTTTGTCGGCACAGAAGGCAACAAGACCACCTACACAAAAAGCCACCTGACGCACTGCTCTTGTATCATCAGATGGCATTGAGAAGGTTCGTGTGCAGAAGGAGAAGAAGCTCAAGCAACGGGTCGGGTGATGTCACAAATCCTCATTCCCTGCATGTCGTCTGTGTGTCATCCGTCATCCGTCTATGTGTGTGTGTATGGTGTCAGGAGGAGAGCAAGGCGGCGATGCTCAAGTCGATCCGTATGGTGCGTGAGTCCATCGAGGCCAAGCAGCAGCAGCTCAAGGACATGGATCCACGCCAAGACCAAGAAGACATCTGAGCAGACGCAGAAGATCGAGGGCCAAGTACTCGACGCCAAGTCACGGATACTCATACTCAAAAATCAAATCGACCAGGAACGAAAGAACTGCCAGGCTGCAAAAGAGGTGAGACACCGACACTCACAACCACCAACCCAACCCAACCACTCACAAATGCATGAATGTGTGTGCGTCAGGCTCACGATTCTGCCCGCGCGCATCTCAAGCAGCTCAAGGCGGACAAGCACCAACTCGACGAGGCCAAGGCGAAGGTACAGGCATCACACGACAGAACGGGAGAGAGAGGGAGGAAGGGATGGATGGATGGATGCTGTCCTCATGTCATTTGTGTG